AAAAAAAAAGAATTAATGTTTTCTACCCTTGAAGACAGCAGGTTCATGTTACAATTAATGCCTGACTTGCTTTAGGTTTCATGGCATTGCAGTTTTCAGTTGAGGTCTTTGAACACCCAAATAACATCCAACAGCTTCAGTGGTAATTGTGCAACAATTAGTTGTACAATTAGTCTGTGGTCTAGACTTTGTAGTACAGACTACGGCTATCACTCCTCAAAGCCAATGGCTTTGATAACAAATGTACACCGTGCTGAAGATGGGTACAGAAGTTCAATCTGAACCTCTCCTAAAGTTTGGGGCTTAGCTTCTGGTGCTCTGGAAGGCGATGTGGGAAGGTCCATGAGGGTGAGTCGGGCAAATCCACATTATTCGTCAAACACCTGCATAGTGCTGATTGTGTGCAAGGCACATTACTGTGTGTTAATTCTAACAATCCACCAGGGAGATACAGGTTTCCCTGTGAGAAGCCCGTGTGCACCTGCCCAAGGTCACATAGCGATCGCGTATAGACCCAGGAAACTTGTTTTTCCAAGAAATGCAGCAACAGTTTTTACTGGACTGTCATCATTGGTTCCATTCAATGTCATTTCTGCAAGGCATTTTACTGGGAAAGCAGCTGTGAGCTTTAAGATGTGTGGGTAGTTATTTTGAGGATGATGTGTCTTGAGGATTTGACGCCCAGACAAATTTAAAAATAAGCAGGTTTCCAACATCTAAGGATGGGCCAATCTCTGAGGTTATTGAGTAAAAAGTCAACACCGTAAAGTCAATTACACTATTGACAGATACTCTTACAAGGAGATTTCACATCATAATTATATGCAAAGGAACCCGGCAAATAGAGGCTGTGTAATGATTAGCTAATAAAAGTAACACTTCATCTATGTCAATAACAGTTTCAGAGTTAAGACAAACAAACATGGCCTTTGCCACTCAGTGGAGGGAAAAAAAAAATCCCCGAAAGATAAATATTTTCACTTAAGGAGAAGTCACTTAGACTCACACAGAAAATCTGTCACACAAAGGAGAGCAGAAAATTGCTCTTTAGTGGGTGCTAATGACTCTCCCCAGCCTCCCCAGGCCCCTGTAAACATGTGAACACTTACAGGATCCCTGGGCACTGCCACGTGCTGCAGCAGACAACATTTGGTGGTGTTCTGTTCTCTACTGGAGTCTTTTCCTTTTAACCTCAGCTGAGTTTAGGTTCAACTGACACGTGGTCAAACAAAAAAAATTTTAAATGACAATGAATGTGAAAGAGCAAAACAAGAGCCGCCCCTCCCCCAAATATTTCTTAAGGGTTTTACACACAGACACTGATTATGCAAATGTCTGCATAGCTCTGCTTGTGTTCACTCTTTCTGAAAGCACCTCAGTGTCCACTCTTTGCCCTATGCAAAGAAGGCAAGGATAGTACAAGCAAGTGTCCCTAATCTTACAGAGCTCTCTCCCCTCTCGCCATAATTTCCTTTAAAACTGAGGGGGCAGGTACAAAATTGGTATTTACTGAGAATTGGTACTGACAGTTTACTGAGAATGCACAATGGTTTTCTCCACTGGTTACCTCTTATTTATGTAAATGATAACTTGTTCCTGCAAACTGTGGTTGCACATTTTACCAAAACGATTTTGCTCAGAACTCCTCTCATGCAGGAAGGTCACTCGTTAATTAGACTGCGTATGCTGTTGGACAGACATTGACCAAGCCGTGCAATCACAAAGCTATTTTGTCACGCAGCCTCCAACCCAGCCTCAATACCCTTTCCTACGCTGGGCCCCTGGCGGGGGCAGGGCTGGGCTGTGCAAACTACATTCAGCTTTGCCACTTGGCTCCGTGCCAGACTCTGCCACCAGGGGGTGCCATATAAAGACCAGAAAGGAGAAGAAGGGACTGGTTCCAGCCTGCCTGTCCGTTTCCTGTCCTGGCGTCACCCCAGCAGTGCCTGGGAACCTCAGCAGCAGTGGCATCCATCCCTAAGGTAGCTGCTGGATCCAGTTTGCGTTCTTTCTAACACTTGTAGAACCATGTCCCCTCGTAAGCACCAGCACCATTGCCCCCCCACCCCGGTCTAAATCCTGCCTCCCACCCTTGCACTCTCTGCACAGCTCTGAGTTTCAGCTCCAGGGTACCATCATTCCAGCCTCTTTCCTGTGTTCCCTCAGCCCTGTAGGTAGTGGCTGCTTCCTCCAATTTTCCCCTCCATGCTATCCTGAGTTGTCTTTTTACCCTTTCAGTTACCTGCTTAATAACATTCTACCTGGTTAACAGTTCTTTACCCTGACATCTCTCTGTTCACATACCTGCTGTGGTTTCTGTCTCTGGACTGATGCATAAGACTAGCCCAGAAACTGTTTTGTGGTGGCCTTTTACTTTGGAAGGAGGACAACTGAGGGGCTCACTCTTTAAAGGGAAACAAGACTTCGTGGTTTTATAGTAGTGCTTTGTTACCTTTTAATCAGAAAAATATCAATATTTAAAATAAGGCCCCTAGAGCAGTGATTTTCAACTGGTGTGCCATGAGAGGATCTAAGGTATGCTGCAAAAAGACCATTCATTAAATTATTTTAGAAAGAAGTTCAAAGCACAGTAAGTATATTCTTTTTTTTTTTTCTTTTGAGACATAGTCTTACTTTGTCACACTTGGTAGAGTGCCATGGTGTCACAGCTCACAACAACCTCAAACTCTTGGGTTTAAGTGATCCTCTTGCCTCAGCCTCCTGAGTAGCTAGAACCACAAGCTCCTGCCATAGCACCTAGCTAGTTTTTCTGTTTTTAGTAGAGATGGGGGTCTCATTCTTGCTCAGGCTGGTCTTAAATTCCTGAGCTCAGGCTGTCCACCTGCTTTGTCCACTTTTGCCTCCCAGAGTGCTAGGATTACAGGTATGAGCCACTGTGCCCAGCTTATTCTTTTTTTGGATCAACATAATTTAAGTGTGCCAGGGAAGTTTAACTACAGGTTCAAGAGTGCTGGGAGATAAAAAAGGTTGAAAAACATTGGTCTAGAGAGTAATCATCAGTAAAATTTGCATAATATATTCCATTAGATTAACAACTAAAATTAGGAGGCAGCTCCTGCGTAAGGTCAACCGGTGGTCTGCCTGACTCTTCTGTGTCCTACCACATGGAATGACTGGAACCCCAGCAAGAGCTACTCTCCATGTCCAAACAATAAACTAGAGGTCGACACTTAAGAGTCTGCTAAGGAAAATGCATTGTTGCCTCAACTGAGAGCCGTCTACAGTCTCAAAGTCTTTTCAACCAAAATGGTCAAGTAGGAGGTGATTCTTTGTTCTTCAAGTAGGAGGTGATTCTTTTAAGAAAGAATGAAATAAAGAATTTGTCTCTTTCATAACGTAAGGCAAGGGGACTGGTATTTTGGCTTCATGGATGAGGCTTGCCACTTAAGAACACAAGAAGAATTGATCTAAGGGTAACCAGGACAGGTAGTGGAGAAGTACAAGAAAAAGACCCCATGTATTTTTGGAACGTATCCCGTTATCGGTGAGTGGAAACGATAACGGGCTTTTATAATCTGTACTTATTCTAATTCCTAAAATTTCCCCCTGCTCAGGTCCTATACAACACCAAAGTTAGCCATGAAGATGACGTGACTTCCATCCTAGAAAAGCAGGCGGGTTTGCTGGAAGAGTTAAAAGACGCAAGGTCACGGGAAGCGCCACATGGCTGTTTACACAGGAAGGCTGGCTTCACAGCTCCCTCAGGCCCAGCTAAACAGACTCTCGGGGTTGGTTTCCTCTGGGACATGAAACATGATGACAGCAAAGTAGCCTTCAGGTGCAGACTTGATCCATACGTGAAAAAGAAAGGAAAGGGGTAACGTCAGGAAGGGGCGCAGCTCAGTCGGGCAGGTCTTTCCAAAGCAAAAAGTCAGGCACGGTACAATGGCTGACGAAGCCATCAGCCGCCACCCTCAGGAAGAAGACCACTGAGGACAGACAGGGACATGCAGAGAAACTGCTGCCATCCAGGGCAATGCAGCAAAGGGCTGCGACTGAAGCACAGGGCTGAAGAGTACACGAGTTCACAGCGAAGAGAAATGTGTCTGATGCTGGCTCAGAGGCCACATTCAGGAAAGTGTTGGGAAGGAATCGTCTTTGTGATGGGTCTTGAGGGACCTGCCGCTTTGCACGTGAAGGCTGAGGGAAATCCACACACAGGAGATTGTACGACTATACACTTGCATGCTCGTATGAGCTGGGGAGCAAACGTGACTCAAGGAGAAAGAAAGGTTAGAGGAATGTCGGGGTGATGCAGTGGGAGGTGCTCTGGCAGATGGCTGGAGGGGTACGGTTTAGGAGTAGGTAGGGGCAAGCATGGGTGGAGAAACAGCCAGCAAATGGGGGGAGGGCTCAGCAATAGTCCTTGTGGGGATCCAAGCTAGCAGTGGACCTGGATCTGGGGCTGACAGTCGGGAAGAGCATGGAGGAAAGAAATGTCCCAAGGACGAGTTCATGTGGTTTGGCAACTGGCCTGATTCTCGGAAGCAGGGGAATGATGCCACCTGCTATTTATAGACCACTTACCAGAGCACGCTCCGCACGTGACTTTGCACTTGATTTCACTGCAGCCCCTCCTAGGAGGCACAGGAGTTTCACGGATGAGGGAGCTGAGGTCCAGAGAGGTCAGGCGCCAGCCCAGAGTCACAGGACGTGGACATACAGGGCTGGGTCTATGGCTAGACCCGTCAGAGTACTATCTAATTAACAACTGGCCTGCCATTTCCCAAGACCCACCTTACCTTGTCTTCTTAGGATAAAAACTTATTTTAACTTGACCCCATCTCCTCATCTGCAAAGAGATCAGGATAATTTGGTGGCCGTAGAAGCAGCTAGCATTTGGACGACAGCTAGCATTTTTGAACAACCAGACCACTAACTGGCTTGAAGTTGATCCTCTCCATCCCTGAAAGGAGCCCCATGGACAGATGCTACCCTCCTGCGTCCCCCTTACCTCATAGCTGCCGTCATCCCGATGGGTGTGATGGGCAGTGGCCGGACACCAGGAAACAGGCCTCGGCTCAGAACTCGTGCCCCGTTCTGTATCACTCCTGGAGGAACTGAAAAGGCAAAAAGACAGTGTACATGAATTGTACTGTACAGATGTCTGTTCAAAGTCAGAAATTTTGGATATACCAGAGAGAGGGAGGGAGAGGGAGGGAGGGAGAGGGAGGGAGAAGGAGGGAGGGAGGGAGAGGGAGGGAGGGAGGGAGACAGGGAAAGGAGGAGAGGGGGAGAAACAGAGAGCAGAGAAAGAGAGAAGAGCATGTTCTCTCTCACACACACAACTCTCTCTCTGGGGGAGAGAGTGACAGAAAGAGTAACAAATGAGCGAGACAGACAGAAGAGTAATTTAGTCAGCAAAGTCGGACCAATAGCTTATGACCAAATTATTGATGCTTAGGTTAAAAAAAATGGTTAAGTTTTGAAAAGTATGCTTCAAATATTATGCTCTTGCATTTATTAAAAATAACCTTTTCCCTTTGACCAGGTCCTAAGGACATCTCAAAGGCCCTGACTCCAAGCCATTCAGCAGGTGACCGCACAAAGCACTTCCTCACGCTTCGTTGTAGCTTTCTCTCTATTCTCAATCCAACAAAGAGAAAATACAGTGAAACAATAAGAGAAAGTCGATTTTATAAGCTTCTTGGCACCTCAGCACTCACGACAAGTTCATCCACACAACGCTGTTCATTACCCAAGGAAAGGGGCCCCCAGGGTCACTGGGAGAGAAGGGTTGCCGCCTAGACTTGCAGAGCCCACTTTGAAGGGCCAGATTTCCTCCTTCCCTAAAGCGCCCCCCATGCAAATCCCAAGAGGTCTCTCATCGTCCCTCCTTCTCCCAAACACACTCATTCCTGGAGCTACCCTAAGCCAACTTTGCCAGTGACCACCAGATGCTATCCGTTTTCTGTGCAAACTCTGAGTAGCCTGACACCAATCTGATTGTTGGAGCATTTACATAACCGGAGTACCGCAGGGAATCTGATATTCTATCTTTCTTTTTGACCTTGCAAACAGCAATTTTGATCGGTTCAAACTAATACTCTGCCTCTTGCTGCACCTGCCAACACCCCTGTATGTGCCTATGGGGCCAGGTGAGCATCAGAAAGTGACCCTGGCAGGTTTTAATTGTAGTTCTTCTTGTGTGACTTTGTGCAAGTCCTGAATCTCTGCTTCCTTCTACGTTTCTCCAAGACCGCTAATGCTGCCTCAGCTCTAAGACTCCCCCGAGCCCTGGCTGTGCTCACATAGCCTTGGCACAGTCTCCTACAAAGGTAGGGTGGATATGGTGCTTTTCCAAATTAAGACCACTGAGAAGGCTCTAGAAAGTTATTCATTCAAAAATGAAAACCACACTGGATATTGTTTTTAAAGCCAGTATTATTTGTATAGAACAAATATCTCTTACAATACACATTGCCTGTATATACTTTTAATTAACTGTTCAGGTCTCTAAGAACATGTTTTCAAACCTTTAATCAAAAGTCCTTCATGTAAGATGAATGTTTACTCATCAGTATGGGCTAATTTTATAGACTATGGACTCCTTGGGCCTTCTGTACTTCCTGCTAATAATTTTTGCCATTTCTCTTCTGGATTTGTGTAAGGCCTTTGTTGCTAGGTCTTACAGAAGGTGGGATGGGAGATAAAATTCAAACGCTTGGCTAAGTCAGTGCTACCGGTACAATCCAGGGTTCCAAAATCTCCCCAGTCTCTAACTGTGAGAGCAGGTGGAATGAGAGGAGGCACACCTGATTACCAGCCCGATTTCAGATCAGAGTATCTAAGGAGGGAGACTTACCAGGTGCCTTAAAAATATTATAGTGTGGTGTTTAGCTAACTAGCACAGTTTCCTCAGTTGATGAGTTCTCTATAAGGAAGAGTGTTTAAACTTTATACTACCTAATTTATATTCTCAGATTTCAAGACTTCCTTAAAGTTACAAGAACCAAGACAGTGTGGTGTTGGTCTAAGTAAAGGTGCACAGAGCGATGGCACAAAACAGAATCCAGAAACCGACCTGCACATGGGTGGCCAACGGCTTTTTGACAAAGGTACCAAGACAATGAGATGGGGAGAAAGGAGAGCACGAGATCAACTGAGATCCGTTTGGAAAAATAATGAACTCTGACCCTTATCTCATAATTAGAAATGGATCATAGACTTAAATGTAAGAACTAAGATTACAAAACTTCTAGAAGAAAACATAGGAGGAAAAATCTCCTCAATTAATTCTCAAAACCAGACATACGCAAAAGACCAGCAGAACTCTGGAGTTTACAGATGGGGGCCTGGAGTCCTCACTGAGTCAGGCAAGGCACTAGTGTTTAGAAAATGCACGGGACTCATCAGTATCATCGTCCTCAACGCGCTTCCTAAAGAGGAATCCTGAGGCGGCCTGTGCTGCCTCTGCTTCAGGTGACCTGAAACCTGCAATAAGGGAACCCAGACCAGGACGAAGAGCTCGGCCACCTCCCGTGACACAGGCCCTCTGTGGTGCTTCTGTTCCCTTGGGCATGTCACACCAGCGTGCCCTGTGGGGAAAACATCTAAAATGCCTAAAACTGGACAAAGACTCAGGTGCTCTAGAGCAGGGAGAGAGCAAAGGGAAGTCAAAGAGCAGGTGTCCTTTCCAGCTCTGTCATCTGCCCAGTGCAGAAGGAAAGCTGCCCTGAGGACAGAGTCCCAGGGCAGAGTCTCTGCCCCAACACCAACAGGGTATGCCCAGCAGGAAGGGCAATGAGGCGAGGAAGCCAGGACTCACCACGCACACCCTGAAGACTGCATTTGCTGGATTCTCCTCGCCTCACTGAGACGTCGGGGAGCATGTACGCCACGGTGGATCAGAGTGTGAGCTCTAAGCAACGTGGCCTCGGTTCAGTCCTGCCCCATCGCTGGCTCTGTGGCTGCACCTGCCTGCACCTGTTTCCTGAGGGTACAGCAGGCATATACCTGCCTCTTATTTGTTGTGAGGATCAAATAAGCTACGTATACTGCTCAGCTCAGTGTCTACCCCGTCAGGTATGCCCATCACCACCGCCATCATCATGGTCATTGCCACACTTCTTCCACCCTCCTGTGTCACCTCCCCAGCATCTTCTTACCAATTACCTATAAGGTAGTGGGCTTAATGGGGTCAGGACACGGGGAAATTCCTCCAGCCTATTAAGCTTTGTGTGGTTATCACTAACTGTGCATTTAACCATGAAAACATCTTCCCGATTAATGAACTGTAGTCAGTTCAAAGAGAATCTCATGGACACAGCTCTCCCGCCACATTAACAGGCTTTCCCTGAGCTATTTCCTGCACCTCATAAGACTTCTGGCACGGAAACGCCGCTCTTCCTCTGAATCCTGCAGCCTGTTCTCAAATGAGCTGCAACTAAACGCTGCCTCTGCCAGTCCTGGCATTTCTCCGTCCTCGTCATTGGCAATACTCTCCATGTTGAGATGGCGGATGTGTTCATATTTGCTCACTGGCTGCCAGAAGCCAGCTGTGACACTTAACTGTACCTCCCATCTTTTCTCCTTTCTGGCCCCATCCCCAAGTGGCTTCTGAAAAAGTCAGGGCCAGTCTAAAGTGTCTGCGTCTGAGAGCGGCATTCTGAAGTCCACAGCCCATGACGTCCTAGATGGGGCCCAGCAGGACATTAGCCCATCCTTCAGCCTGTCTCTCTCAGGACATCTCCTCATTCCCTTTCTTTGCTCTCTATTTCCCTGAAAGCATACTGAGACACTTAAAGACCACCTCCCCTACCGCCAGTCCACCTCCAGCCAGTGTACTCAAAGGCTCCTGGGCTCCAGCTAGTAACAGGCATCCTAAGAAACCAGACACTTGCAATCAACTTCTTGCTCTGATTCGTGGCTCTCACTAGAGAAGGCACAGACCTCTAGCATCACCTTGTTTATTAGACCAGTTAGATCTTAGGAGACAAGACCCATATCTGAGGCACTTGGGTTGCTGGAATAAGGTGCCAAGGACATCAGCACCAGAGTTCCCAATGCTTGCTGCTCAACCTGTTCTCTGATCTTTAGTGACTCTAAACTTTTAAAACAGGGGAACAGCTCACTGTCCCTCAGACCGTTGGAGGACTGGACTGCGGGCCTCAAGACAAGTCAGCTGCTAAGCAGGACAGGCAGTGGCGGCAAAAATACCTGGCAGGCTGGATAAATGTCCTAGGCAGGCTGCATGTGGCCCGCGGGCCATAGTTTGACGACGCCTGCTCTAAACTTTCTGATCTCAACTAGAAGGAAAGTACCCCTCACTTGTAAAGGCAGAGCCAAATCAAGCTGCTCCACTCATGACAGAGGCCGTGATCTAAGTGTGATAATAGAATCCTTATTTTAACAAAATAAGAAGTCTCAGGTCTCAGACAAATTCTCCTCCATGCTGTGTTGTCCATCAGCCCTTCTCCTGCCTCCCTCACGATTAGCTTTCTTGATTTTCCACAACTTCTAAAATTAATCTCTGAGCACCTACTGCTGCCTTTGGAGGGCAGCCCTGGCTAGTTCTCTCCGAGGCCATAAGCTGGGCAGCAGGTGATTCCGACCATCCTCCCCTTTCCCAAAGGCAGCTTTACCACCTGCTTATTTGGAAGGTATGCTCAGGAGGGACTGGCCCGGGAGGACTCAGGCTACTTCCTGGTGGCCTTTCTTGTACTTCTACTCCTGGTGCCTGGAGTGTCTGACACAGAACCCCAACTCCAGGCAGGGGGAGAAATACCTTCCCCCACCTGACTTCCCCCTTGGTCCATTTTGTTGTTTTATTATCTAGAGTTCATGTCTGGGAATCTGCCAACCAGGTATTATATAACATGAGCAAGGTACTCGGGCTTCTCCTGACTGAATGACAATTCCTTCTTTGGTGTTAAAGACGACTCAAGGGGCTTGTCAAAGGGGAAGTGCAAAGCAGGTGCTTCAGGAGTAGAGGCTGGAACTAGGCAATGCAGCCACTGGGGGGAATGAATGGATTTGACTAGAAGCATACTCCAAAGTTCAAGAAGTAAGGAAGCAGCCATGCTCTGAGCTGACTGCTTTGGAAGGAGCATCCCGGAGAATATGTGGGACATGATGGTTCTCCTTACTGAATCTTTACCACGCTGCCAACTGGCCAAGCCTGAAAACAATAATGTCACATGCACTGAGGGAGCTGTCAGGGGCACAAAATGTTGTAGTACCAGTACGTACTGCTGCCTCCCTGAAAGGGAAGCATCGGGCTGAAGTGAGATGTGGAGGGACCCATGGAGACTCCAGCCCAAGTGAGACAGGATGTGCTGGACTCCCCCGGGGCAATGAGGACCCTCTGGAGATCAGAGGCTTGCAGTGACTGGGGTTCTCAGCAGCTGCTGAGCAGTTTGCTCTGTGCGGCCCTCTCACCCTCAGACCCTGGACGGTGGCCAGCCTGCCAGCCCTGAGCTAGCTTCGCAGATGCTGAGCAAGGGAAGGAGGACAGGAAAAGATCTAAGTGGCTGCCATCTGGTGACCCAAAGTGGAGAGGCTACGAAGGGTGATGATAAAGGAAAAGCCACTCAGGCCAGTCTCTGACTGCTGAATGGGAACAGCAGCAGAAAGACCAGGGTGGCGGCCCCACAAACGGGACCATCGGGAGACCCAGGAGGTGGAAACAGGGGCTATAAATAGCACTGTAGGAGGATACTCTCTCCCACGCCAGCCCGAGGGCAAACATGGGCAGGCCATGCACAGACAGAAAGCCTGTGCTCTCGGGAGCCACGCTCCCCACGTGGGCAGTGGCAGTACCCCCTGAGTCAGGAGGAGGCCTGAATATAACCACATGGCACACAAACACCACTTGCAGGCCACCTACACACCATCCCTGAAGGCAGCTTGCCATGGCCTTTAAGCATTTTTGCCCAGGAATTGCATCTGACTCTTCTTCTAGGCCTTGGGCAACACTGGCAGGGCAGGGGATGGAGGCCTGATCACTCTGTGTTTGTAATGCGTCTCCCTTAAGGCAAGGTACTGTCTTAACTCTCCAGGCAAGAAACACTGTGCAGGGAAAATAAACGCATGTGCGGGGTGGGGACAGGGAGAGAATGGAACAAGGAAGAGCGCGCGGGAGGCAGCTGTGGATACATACCTCTGGCTGTGTTTCTTAGGAGGATGGGCCACCGGGCTTCCTCCTAAGGTGCCCAGACTGACACCTGATGCATCTTCATGCCCTCCCTATGGTATGCTCCAATCCTGAAGGACTCCTCCACCTAACCATTGACTATGTTTGCACTTGACCTTCAGGGGACTGTCCAAGGGCTAGGGGTCAAACCGGAAGATGAATACAAGGAGGCCCCTACCCTCCGCCCAGTCTTTACATTCCCTTCTCTGCAGCTCCTGCCAATGAGTATCTCCTTCCGTGACCTCTGCAGGCCCCTGGTTCTTTCCTCCCTCTTGGCCTGGGGCCTTCAAGAAGGCTGTGGCTGAATTTGGTGGTAACAGCCTTCTAATAGTGTTCCTACAGCTTCAAAACATGGACACCGAGTTATTATAACTCAAATTCATCATTCCAATGTAAAAACTGCTAGGGATACCCTGGTAGAATAATTATTTACAGTTTGAGTGTTAATAGGGATGCAGAAGTTCTGGAGAAGTTCATTTAGTCATGAGAACAACTAACTCGGAACTAAGCAGGAGCAATGCTTTTTCTTCTCTACCTATAATCAAGAATCCAGCAATAATGGACTTTAATGGAAGATGCTAAGGATCGGCCAATGATCAATCAATTCCCTTGCCTTTTCCATAATCCCTCTTTCCCCTCTTAACCCCAGCAAGCAGTTCATCAGAAGCACTTTTTCAAAAAACTAATCATCACTGTGGAACAGTGGCTGTGTGCAGAGGAAGGGGCTCAAATCTTCCATGGCTCTGATGAAATCAGTGTTTCCACCATGATGAGTTATGCAACTTAATTTTAGAAACCCTTGTAACTCGATTACAATCTGGTCTGTACTTTTCTGCCATACCCTCTAAGAACGGAGGTTTTTAAAAATATGTATTTCTCTGAAACTTAAAACGTCATTTAAAAACCACATTCCAGGTTAACGGCTAGTTACAGAACTGCACCAGTTACCCATCTGCTAAGCAGTGGTGTTTGCCTGCCAGGTGTGGGCAGCCTAACATTTCAATCGCTGGCGATAGGAGTTCAGCGAAGAGGGAATGAGGATTCTCAGCTGTTAGGAGCAGGTAATGGCAGCTCCAGGCAAAGAAATAAGTCTCCTTGAGAATGTTCAGCTGCATCTCTTGGGTCTTTTTAAAAAAAGGAACAAATAAGCAAGGATGGTGTCAAACTTCCTAAAGCTGTCAGGAAGGCTGGGACAAGCAGAGGTTGGGGAGTGAAGGATAGTGTGGAACTTCACATCAGTCCCTTATTGACAAAAAGACACCCGTTGTGGGTGTGAGCATGGATGCTTTCCTGCGGAAAATACTGTTGTCTCCAAAAGTGAGGAATTCCCATTGCTCGGGAGGTCATGCCCCAAACCAGTGGAAGGTCCAGCCCCTAGCGGTGGTAGCACGGTGCTGGGTGCCACTTCATGTCATCATCCCCAGGCCCCGTGTTTCATCAATGTCCTGACAACAAGCTGAGAAGACGCTGGTAGACCAGCATTCTGTCTGTCTGCTCAACTGGGTTCTGGCTGGGTGTGGGATATAGGCACACACACTGGTCTCAGGAGGAGGAAGGGACAAATGTCTTTGTTTAAGGTCATTTGTCACAGTGTGAAGAAGACTCTTCTAAAACCACAGTAGGCTAGCTCCAGAGGTGAAGAAAAACATCAGGTGGTGGATAGAAGAAGTCCAAGTAAAGAAAAGAGCTGTCTCAAACTTGGCTTTGCGCACTGGCCAAGAGGCTGGGAGCCCTGCTTAGCTAAATCTTCCTGCCCTCTACCTACAGTGGGTAGCATGGGAGCCTGGGTGGAGAAGACACAGGGGGTCCCATGGTCTCCTTACCAGGATTTGGCAGGCTCTATCAGACCTGCCTCATCGGACAGTTCCTCTCCAAAATGGCAGCCTGGTATTAATGAGGTCCCAGAGGGGAAAAAAAAGTCTAAAAATGGATACTGCTGAGCTCCATGACAGTAAAGCTGGCCCCACGTAGCCTCTTCTAGCAGAACCTACGGACTCACAGGAACAAGTCTGCAGGAGAAAAGGAGGTCTCTCCACGGGGACTCATTATAGGGTCTGCTTCCCTTCCCCCAAGTCTTAAGCCCTGAAATTATAACAGAACTTTCTCATCTTAGAAACACACCTATGCCTTCATTCATACATATGCATGAATGCGTGTTTATATGCATATGCATGTAATCATGCACTTGGGTAGTTTTTAAAGTGATTCTGTAAGGGAAGTTCTACTTTAGCATTAGTTCTTCCTGTGACCTGGTATATAAATGAGAAGGTTAAGTTCACAAACTATGGTGCTGTAGGCTATAGAAATATCTACTCACAACCTGCTTGTATCTCAGGGGGAGTATTCAAAAGCATCATGGCACTGGCAGCATCAATGTCAGGATCTGGAAAAATCAACCAATAAATAACATTATTTACAACGGGGCTGGTGTGTGTGTGTGGTTTTTCCCCCTGTAAGTTACAGTTTACGAATGCAACAGAGAAAAAAAGAAATCCAGGAACTAGACGAGCCATCCCAAAGGTGACTTTCTTCCCATTTGGATCTGAGAGGAAGAAAAGGCATTCTAGAATGAGATGTGAGGGGCATGTTAGTTGAGTTTTTCATCAGACGAGCATGGTCTCTTCTCGTTTTGCTAATTTCATAATTTGCCCTGTGCTGTTCCTGATAACTTGCTGATCTCTGCACCCCTACAGCTTTTACCCTGGGGTGAAGAGCAGGAAAGTTAGTGACAATAGGAACTTCAGCCGCAGGAATCTTTAATGAACTGGGGAAGGCCCGTGGTGTCAAAAAGAGAAAGCGTTAAATACACCTGCATCTAGTGAGATACCAACAAGACATTTGGTCATTTTCATTTGTCAGCAGAATGTAAATTGTGTTTTATGAGGTTATATATTTGCAACAGCAGTGGTGGCAGTGATGAAGGTACTTTTTAAAGAAGGCTCTTAAAATATAAAGAAAAAAATTAAAGTTCTGATGTTGGGGGGCACAATATTTGCTTCCACATCTATTATGGCTGAAAAGAAAAAAAAATAAAAACCAGTCATCACTTCATGCTATAATTCTTAATAGGTTTCTGAATCCTTACTGATCCACCAGTTGACAGATGGCAGGTTATATAGAGACAGAGAAAAATATTATCCCTTTATAACTAAATTCATTTTCCTCTGAGAAACAGCAGCGCTGCTGCTATGGAAATGAAGGTCACCATGGCAACGGTAAACAACCCCCAAGAATGGTCACTGAATAGGCTGAAAAGAACATCTGCCCCAGCACAGCGTCCCAGCTGCCCTGGGGCGAAATTCACTAATAGTGCGGTGATGCCGCGTGACAGAAGCTGCCGCCTGTGCCCTGTCCAAATAAATGAAGTGTGCAATTGAAGTCGACATCAAAATGCCTTCCCTTGCAGATTACTGCCTCTGTGTCCGCTAAACCCAATGACTAATGATGGGGGAGGGGGGCTCGCACTTGTCAGTTTTTGTACAAATTACATACCAAAAAATTCAATTTACTACTAATGGCTCCATGGCACTTTATTTTGGGTATTATGCTAGAAAATTACTTTTTTACTGTTTAAAAAAGTACATTTTTCATACTTTATATGTGCACTTTAATTCCAAGGGAGTAATGTGATGCAGTATAAAGACCCACAAGCGATTAATAATATGGATGATGCTGGTTCCAGAAGAGAAAGTCTCAGAAAGAAAAAAAGTAAAAGAACTTGACTCTGCAGGGTTTTTTTTTTCTATTTTGCCTGCAGGAGGCCTGTTATTTACACTCCATAATGGAGTAAAAGTTTATCTTAATAAGTATATTGTATGAGAAACAGGTAAATTAACTTCTTTGGCAACTCCTAGGGTGATATTCCTAGACCAGTCATCATTCCCCACTGATATACTAGTGGGGACAATTAACTGAAAAGCTTAAAAGTTTTCCTCACTACTCCTGGGATTCCCCCTGCCCCTCCCCCTGGGTCCCTCCCACAGGGCCTGTTGCCAGGATCCAGGGAAACTCAGTCCCAGCACGATTTCTGGCACACCCAGGGAGGGTAAGCAGTTCCCCAGAGCTGCTGCTGCAACTCAGGCTTTTCCTTCCTTCTCCTCCCATTGGAAAGGGCCTTTTCTTTTCTCAGGCAGTAAGTAGCCAAGAAAACACACTATTTCTTCCCGTCAAGCAAAGTTTATTTGCCCTCTTTAAGAAAGCAAGCATTCAGGTAGTTGGCCTGTCTAGATGGTCCCCACCTCTCCACGTGACCCAGACCCAGAGTTTTTCTGACTAGAAGGTATGCTGGGGCCAGGACAAGAGGAAACACAGGTAAGACGTCAGGAGTCTTTTCTTAGTTACTCTGCCAGAACATTTTAAAAAAGAGGACTTCCATGGGGCAGGTGTAGATGGCCACAGATCAAAAGGAGACGTCATTAATGAAAGAAAGAAAAAAGGAGGAAGAGAAAGGGTACATTTAATGGAGAGTGTAGGATCAACACTCAAAAAATCGAGGAGCACCTAAGTGGGGCAGCCCCAAGGTGCAGCTTGGGGGAGAGCTTTAGATCCACAAATGTATGTCTATAATTCCACTCCCACCCAAGCTGAATGAACACAAACTGGGAAACAAAACAAAGACAGATGCTGAAGGACTCGGCCATCAGTGCTTCCTTCTAACTGGATTGGCCTTCCCTGATGCCTCCACAGATAAACATTCTGAAGCTTTCAAGAAACTCATGCTAGTCTCCGGCATTTTGGGTGGGTGCAACATCCAGCCTCTGCATTATCTCATCCACAACCCCACTCCATTCTGAAAGGATTGGCTCTTGCACGAGTAGCCCTTTGGGCAGAACGGAGCAGAGAGCAAGGCTTGGGAGTCTCCCCACTTGACATGTTGGCGAGTGAACTGGCAAACACAAGAACTTGCAAATGGTAGGAAAAAATGTAAAATGTAATTATGTGTCTATGCACACTGGCACACTACCGCGCGACTCCTTCCCCTGGGGACAGTGAGTGTGATCCTTTAAAAAATTTACTTTGTGAGGGATTTACATAGAATAAAATGTGCCCATTTCAAGTTTAGAGTCTGATGAGTTCTGGCTAATGTCACACCAGTGTTATCCCCGCCATAATCAAGATAAAGAACACGACACAGACTTCTATCACCCCAACATTTCCATGAGTCCCTCTGCAGACTTTCCTGCCCCTGGGCTGGGCAACAACTGATTCACTTTCTGTTATTCATCCATTTATGGCATTACTGAATAGTATTCCAGTGAAAGGACATACCACAACCCATTCACCTGTAGATTGGCATTTAGATTATTTCCAGTTTTGGATATTATAAAAAAGCTGCCATGAACTTTTGTACCACTATTTTGTGAGCATATGTTTTCATTTCTCTTGGGTCACTGTTAGTAAATATGATTTAACTTTACAGGACACCGCTAAACTGTCTTCCAAAGAGTGTGTGCCATGAACGAGAGTTCGTATTTTTGCCAACACTTGAAATTGTCACTCTTAAAATTTTAGCCATCTAGTGGATGTGTGGTGATATGTATTGCATTTTTCCTTTCTGTTTTTCTAATCACCAATGTCAGCATCTTTTCATGTGCTTGATGTTTATATGCATATCTTATGTGAAAACTTCATTAAAAGTCTTTGCCCCCCCCCCTTTTTGGTGGGGAGGACAGAGTCTTTCTTGCTCTGTTGCCCAAACTTGAGTGTAGTGGTGCAATCACTGCTGACTATAACATTAAACTCCTATTTTGCTCATTTTTCAATTGGGTGGTTCATCTTCTTATTATTCAGCTGCAAGTTTTCTTTAAATATTCTGAATATACATCCTTTGTAAGATACATATCTTTCTTAGTCCATAGCTTATGGATCTGGTTTCTTCACAGTAATGTTTAGTAAGTAGAAGTGTTTAATTTTTATGAAGTCTAATTTACCAATTTATTCTTACACGTCTTAGTATCCTTTGTGTCCTAAGAAAACTCAGCATAAACCAAACTTGCAAAGATTTTTCTCCAAAGTGATCCTGTTTTTAGTTTTCACTTACTCACACACTATAGTGTTTTCCAGGTTTGGATACACAGATTTATAGGTAAGTGAAAATGGAAGTAATCAGCTAGATCTCTTTCCTCACCCGGTAAGCTGTTCAAGTGCAGACCATCTAGAATTGTACAGATCAATACCAGTAACTCTTTCATTGGCTCCTGGTGTGAACACCAGGCAGTCCAAGAGAAGCCTTAGTCAGACATGTTTCTATGGAGGAGTGTCCTGCTTGTCACTCTAAAACCCTGTGTGTGCTTCTGTCCGCAGAACCAATGACCTCCCATCTCTTGTCTCCAAAGAGAAGAAATGCTACTATACTTATTCTTATCAATTATTGAAATGCCAAGTTTTCTGCGCTTTTTAAAAATCACAAAAGTAATGTGACACACTATAAAAAACGCCCCACCACCATATCCCATTTTGCCATGTATAATGTGTACCCACGTTTTGGGCCCAAACTTTCCAGAAGATGTCCTTTGAGAAAGTGGCTGACTGCACTGCCTTCCCACTCTTTGAAGACTGCCCCTTCTCTCTCTCCTAGGAACTTTTCCCTCTCTGCTATGTTGAAGGCCACGGGCGAGATGGCCATGCATGTGGCTGGTGGGGTGGGAGATTCTGAGGCCCAATCTGCTTGGCCCATGGGCAGCCGGGAGGGGAGGGGTTGTCTCGGAAGCTTCCACAGGGCTCCTGTTGCCCTCTGTATGGCTAGGCCTTATGGCCCCATGGCCATAACCTTCTTTGCCAGTCCTGTCACCACCCTCTCCTCGGACAGTGGTGCTTGGTGGGGACCACTCCAGCCCGTTCCCACTGGATCCCAGATCCTCCCTGGCTGGAACACTGTGTACCTGGAGGGCCCAGGTGGGAGGGTGTGGTGGCCTGGGAGGCTGCTGGGCTGCCCCATTCCTGAGCTGTACTACCCAAGTATAATGCTTATCCTTATTTCTCCCTCAAAAATGTGGGCAAAAAAGGACTCACTGTACACATCAAAACATAATACATTAGGTGGATCTGATTTGAAAAATAAATACCTTCCCCAAAGATCTACTCCCAGATTCATACTTTCTTGTATATGTCTAGAAATTGTCAAAATAAGCGCTTACATATACTCAGTGAAATACCAACACATAGTTACTCATGCATATATTATCTATTTTTTTAAAAATGGGTATATGTGGAAAAGAGCTTTCTGCAACAAATTTGTTTTCACTTATAACATATTGGCAACCTTTCACATTAGCTTACATTATCTAAAGTTTTTCTACAGCAATTTTTTTTGTGTATAAAAACACACTACCCTGTTGTACAGGCAATCCCCCTTCTACCAGAAAGCAGAAAGCAAGCGTTGGA